TGACATGGGAAATTCCCTAGATATAAATAAATCAATACTCTTGGGCCTTGGCAAGTTTAAGTAAAATAATGAAAGTCTTATGCGGATCACATATGATACACAAGGCAGTAAATTTTTAATACTAAACATATTTAGAMAAAACTTAAAACACTCTGTAAATTGAGTTATGTAACCTTAAATAGGTAACTCGAAATATTTTAAATACATTATACATTCATGTGGTCTAAGTAAACCTCAGTTTTGCTTCTAGGTTACCGCAWCAAAATGTACCTATTCTTTTTTTATTATATTAATATAAAACAAATAACAAACCATTGACAAATTCCCTATTACAGGTTCAATTTGATTCGATTAGTAGTAAACACACAACCATTGTTCACGCAATGTCATTTATTGCCCTTTTTTTCAGTAACTTTATACTTATAGTACAGCTCTATAATGTGCCTCATCACCAGTGACGTTTAATATAAAATTATACTTAGAAATAAACAGAAAGCATGCTCATGTTCGTATATATAATTATCTTTTGTTCTACTATATCTATTGTCGTCCTCATATTGTTTTTGAAAAAAAAATTCACATATCATATATCTTATTGTTAAGAACCCTACTTATATAATATTATACATTCTATATTTTCGGCACTTTGATCGTCCATTTGGCGCAAGAGTATTGTTTTACAGGCTTACAGCCCGTATATGATTTCTTGACTCCCTCTCATTAAGAATTGGGCTATTTATAAATTTAGAGTTGGTAAATTTGACGCTGGTGTTGAGTGTTTATAGTTATATCACTTAYCAAATTTTYGAGCTAAGTTTCTCATCTATTGGTGTGCATAATATGCCTGCAATGGAAATACAAATTTTTTTAATTAAAAATGTAATAATAAAAATAATATCATGATATACAATCACATATCATGATATTATTATGGAGTTCTGGTGCATGCTTGGTGTTTCTGTGCGTATAATACTATATTACTATATGATAATTAAATTGTTAATAAAATCAATGCTGATTTGAGCGTATCATTAATCGTTACCGTTTATCTCCGAATACACGATAGTCACCACATGATATTACGAGTATACAAGTATACTGGTATAAATGTATAAAATGATTACAATTATATATTTATAATATGTGTTGTCTTAGTGTATAGTGTAAAACTGTATTATAAAACAAATGAGGTCCGTTTCTCCAGCACTGCCACTTTCGAATCTAAATACCAAACCATGATAGTATTTTGTACTTTTTTTTTTGTACAATTTTGTACAAACCCCCTCCCCCCTAACACAAGACAAATGATAAAATAAACAAATGATGAAATGAAGACGAAAAAACAATCGTCAAATAATAAATATTATGAAAAAAAAAATTGATATATATAACATATTATATTATGTAAATATAAGTCATCGGTAGGAAAAAATTTTCATAACTAGTTAGAATAAGGTTGTTAATCTT